CACTTGAGGTGTGCCCTCACCAGTGCCAAGTACAGGAGGAGAATGACCTCCCTGCTCCTGCTGGCCACACCATTCCTCATACAGCTTCTTGGCCACCAGGGCACTGCTGACCAGTTGCCACGGGTCCCTTTCTGCTGGGCACACCATTCCCAGCCTGTAATGTTGCAGGGACTTACTTGTGGCCAAAATGCAGAACTTGGCACTTGGATTTATTAAACTTTATCTTACTGGACTCTGCCCATCCATCCAACCATTCCAGGTCTCCCTGCAGAGCCCTCCTACCTTCCAACAGATGGACACACGCACCCAGCTTAGTGTCATCTGTAGATTTACTAATGAAAGACTCAACACCCTTATCAATGTGGTCAATAAAAATACTGAACAGAGCTGCCCTCCAGCAGATCAGCCCCAGCCTGGTGCATGGGGATTCTTTCCCAAGTGTGGATAAGCAAGAATAAGAAGATATCCTTGCATTAAGACAAGTGGTAAATTTATAACTGATTTGTTTACTTTACTTTGTGGTGTTTCTAAAAAGAAAAAAACACCCAAACCAAACATTCTGCTCAAAGATGTTACTTTTTTATGTACACCTTTGTCTATAGTTTTGCCTTAGTATCATAAAGTTATCACAGCTTATAAATCAGCTGGTAACACTTTGTCTTCATTCTGCTGGAAAAGATCTTCTTTCTCTTCACTGAAGTAATTACTTTTGACAACAATCCATTGAAGAGATCACTGAAGTCTTCAACAGTTACATGATTCCAGTCCTTAACTGTAACATGTAATTTCTCTAAAGGATCACGTATAAAAAGTTCACTTTTCAAGACTAGAAAAGTCTGGTCCTCCTTTGCTGTAGTTCCCAGAAATTTCTGCCCCACTGAAGTCAAACCCAGGGTTCTGATGGAAGTAAAATTAAAAATAGTTTAGTAAGTAAATTATTTAGAATAAAAATGCTTTAAAAAAACCCAGACAACCCACAAAAAAATCTCCTAAATTGCTTTTTGTTAATATTCTGTCATTGGAACAAGAACATATAACGATCAACTTGTCATACATTTATCACAGCACTGAAGTTCTTGGAAAATGCATCAACAAACTTTGACTTGTCATAGTTTGGTTGCCTACTGCTGAAGTGACTTTGTAATGCTGTTCTTGACTTAGCAAGTAGTCAGACCTCCCAGAAAAGAAATATTAAGGAAAATTCAAGAAAGAGATCTGGCTTTTGGTGTCCTTTGAAACTGCCTTTTGAAAATCTAAGTATGTGCTCTGATGGATGACGGGGTTCATAAAACTGCTTTTCTCTGCTGCAGTATACATAGCCTGCTGATTCAGCTGGTATGTAAAATGTAATTCTACACCTCTGCAGACATGTACAGGAATAGTTGTGTGCCAAAGGTATAGCAAAACAATTCCGGCAATTTTAGTGAAAACACAAGGAACATCATCTTTTCCAGCCAACTATTCCACTCCATCTTACATTATAAAAAAGCATATCCAGTACAATTTGATGATCAAATTGTAAATACAGCTATGTCATAATTCTAGATCATAACAGAAGTTGTGTGTAGCCTAACAAGTGAAAAGTTGTTAGGAAGATACAATTACTAAAACAGCAACAGCACCTCCAAACTCACCTGAACTTACCAGAAACCCTGCAGGCAAAGTGCAGACAGAATAATCTCTTCAAAGCACAGTGATAAAACCTTATAAGCATTTTATGGATATTGAACTAAAGCATATATTCCATGGTATTTGTTCAGCTTTCCTGGCCATAACCTCTGTGTGCTAACAAAACATATAAGGAGTAATTACGATGCTTTAACTTACTTCTCTTTGGAATCTCTCCAGTGTAAGTTTCCTTTGCATCTGGTCCTGTACCCAAGGATCAGCAGCATATTCATTTTCTAACAGAGATGTCCAACAATTTCCAGCATCTCTATTTGTCTTCATTAGAACAATTCTTATCAGCTGCCTGTCTTCTGTTGAATGAAAACACATAGAAAAACCTTTAAACTCAGTCCTACGTGCTGGTTCTTTTCTTGGTTTGGTGAATTCATCATTAATAAGCACAAGAAGTGAAGTTATTTAAATTCTTAATGCCAGTGCCAACCTAGTTCTTGATAAATAAATCAACATTAACAAGAGAGAAAAGGCTGAAGCAAAGAGAGCCTATACTCTCATCTCTCCCCTTCTGGCCTGTAAGATGCTGAAGCTGTTTCAAGGGATTAAACACAGTTCATGACTATTTCTATGCAAACATAAAGTAACCTCTTGGAGATGTTGACAACAAAGATTTAATCTATTAATACAGACAACTCTGCTAAGGCAATAATGAAAAATTTAAGGTCAGGTTTTACAAAGAGTTATTACCAACAAAAGCCAGAACTAAGTTTTAGCAACACATGACCAGATGATTATTTAAATAGTGTACATGGCACAGAGAATATATTGGAAGAATGTTTCAGAGTAAATGTGCAAGTGTTTAGTTCTACTGAAGTGAATAAATACAGCATTAGAAGTGTATTTTGAAGACAATTTGTGTACTGAAAGAGACTGGGCTTCACTTCACAATGTGTATTAATACTTTTAATTTTAGTGCCTTAAACTACTAAATTATCAATAAATATTTAATATAAATATTGAATGGAAAAGAAAATCCTTCATAGGAAAACACTGAGAGGCACAGTCCACAAATATGATTACCAAACCCCAAGATATTCAGAATACTTAACAGTATTTATGATATAATGGCCTAATATTCTTTTTTCCTCATTATATGTAGAAACCTTAGTGTGATTTAAAATTTTTTTTCTGTTTCTCTTGGACTGCAGATATTGTCACTTTTGTCACTCAAGAAAATGTAATGCATAAAAGGTAGTAATTATGGAGAGTCATAGACCACATAGCTGTACCACATAACTGTTTACCTTTAAATGAAGGTTTGCAAAAAACTTCTCACTATATGGAAATGTTTGCAACCCATCGATGAGGGCCTTCCAGGATGTGGCATCTCATTAACCTTAGTCTCAAGTGCTTTTGTAATACCTCAACTCCTTAATCCAGCAATAATGACTGCCTTTTTACAAAGCTATGGGAAGGAAGTAATCTTTCCCATTAATAAAGAGGGGCTAAATTATTCTGCAGTGTCTACTGGAAAGTTTTACTGTCTTTATAATGTCACTTCACATGTTGGTTATTACCTAAGGTCCACGTTCCTTCATCAGTTACTGTAGAATCAAAAAGTTTACCCTGCAAAAGACAGGGACAATATTACAAATCAGTAAATCCTCTTCAGCATCTAGTTCACATTGTTATAAAGTTTTATTCACAACTTAACCACCTTGTATTCTGCTGAAAATGGATAGTGATCTGGCCCTAGAAGTATACATCTGCATGTAGCCTGTCAAAGAATTATTGTTTATTATGCAATTATTTTTTTAACTGAAGCATTTAATACTTTGTTTCAGTATCTGGAGTCATTGAAATGGCTTGTATTTCTCAGCAGGTAATGTAATTTTTAATAATCTTGTCATGAAAATGCAAGTGTTTTTGCCAGGAGTGACATCTAGCTCTGGTGCAGGGCACAGGTTTTATGAGCAGCTCATTATAAATGTGAAAGTAAAACTATCTTTAGGCTGTTTTTTTGGGGGTTGTTTGTTTGTTTTTGGGTTTTTTTTGTTGTTGTTGTTGGGTTTTTTTGTTCTGTTTTCTGAGTTCTTTTTTTGCTTTCTGGAGCAATTGAAGTTGTGCACTGAAATGCTGTCCACATTCACATTAAAATCCATGTGAGTTTGTATTTTTATTTTTCATAGAATCACAGAATGGACTGGACTGAAAGGGATCTTAAAGTTCATCTAATTCCTGCTGCTTGCCATGGGCAGGGACACCTTCCACTGCCCCAGGCTGCTCCAAGCCCCATCCAACCTGGCCTTGAACACTTCCAGGGATGGGGCATCCACAGCTTCTCTGGGCACCCTGTGCCAGGGCCTCCCCACCCTCACAGCACAGAATTTCTTCCCAATATCCAATATAAAATTGTCTTCTGACAGTTTAAAGCTTTTCCTCCTTGTCCCATCACTACATGGCCTTGTAAGAAGCCCCTCTCTAGTTGTCTTTCCATGTACTGGAGGACAAGCACCATCTGTAAAACCTCCAGATACTGAACAAAACTCTTTCAAATGAATGCCATTTTTAATGTAGCAAACCCGGGATAAAGAACAGAGAGGCACCACAGGGCACAGGTGTGCAAACCTTCTCCCAGGCGACTAATGACAGCACATGAGGACACAGCCTAAGCAGCGCCAGGGCAGGTCTGGGTTGGAAGAAATGTCACAGAGTGACTGCACATCAGATCGGGCCGCCCAGACCGGCGGCGGAGTCAGTCCCTGGAGGTGTTTAAGGAAAGCCCAGGGCCGGCTGACCCAGCGGTGGGTCCCAGGCTGGCCTCGATGTTCTGAGGTATTTTAACAACCCAGCTGAGCCGTGTCCCCGCGCCCCGCGGCCTACGCGCCGGACGGGCCGCAGGCCGCTCCCCCCGCGGTACCTGCAGCAGCTCCTGCCCGCCCACGGCCAGGGAGATGTGCCGGCTCCGCAGGCTGCAGCGCACGTCCTTGGCGCGGGTGCCCGGCGGGACGCGCACCTCGATGAACACCTCCTCCAGCGTCTGGTACCAGCGGCCCCAGGGCGTCCCGCAGGGCACCACCCCGCTGCGCTCCTCGAACGGAGCCGACATGGGACACGGCGGCAGCGCTCAGCTCCGCGATGCGCAGAGAGCCCCGCGCAGTGAGCAGCGGGACAGCGAGCCCCGCACCGCCCCGCACCGCCCCGCACCGCGCGGCCCCGCGCTCCCGGCCCCGCTCCCCGTCCCGCCGGCAGCGCCCGCCCCGCGCACGCGCACCGCCGGCCACGCCCCTTCGCCGGGCCCGCAGCGCGCGTGCCCCGCTCCGGCCGTCCCGATTGGCCGAGGCGGGCGGGGCGGCGGCAGCTGATTGGCTGGTCGGCGCGCGCTGCGGCCGTTGGCCCCTTTGAACGCCGGGCCGCGGGGTCCCAGCGCTGTCATGGCGTCCGCGCGCGCGCCGCTCCGCCGCCACCTCCACAGCGACGGGAGCGCCGGTACGTGAGGAGAGGGACGGGGCGGCCTGAAGGGGCGGCGGGGACCGGCCTCGGGGACCGGCCTCGGGGCGTCCCTGCCTGTGAGGAGCCGCCTGGAGCGCGGTGCCTGAGGGTTCTCGCAGGGGTCCCCTTCTAAGGCAGAAGGTCGCGACTTCATGTCTAGCCCTGGCATGCCAAACACAGCAGTGAACGTGTGTAATGTACGTATTAACTAAAGCGGTGCCAAGCCTTGCTGGCCTCTGGTTCGGTAGTACAGCGCTGTAAGAGGAGCGTGCAGAGCTTGTCTCTGCAGAGGCACTGCTGGCGAGAGCGTTTTCTGATGTACGAGTCTCACAGTGAGATTTTGGTTGTAGATTTACCCTCGATGTATTACCAGCCTCAACTCATCAAAGCTGAAAACCCTGTCATTTGCCTTCGTTGTTCTTTGCTATTCTGAAAAAAATCTCATTTTTAGCACGTACGCCCCTGCAAGGATCTGGTAACCTTAAGCCATCAGATGGAGCGGGAAGTTTGCCATCCTCTGAAGCACGCCAAGGGCTTAGGAAACAGAAGGGTAAGTAAAATTTGCACAGAACACAATGACAAGATATCGTTGGATTATGCAATTGTTAGTGCTGTTACTGCTCTGCTGTTCTAAAACTGGTTTCTGTTGCAGAGCCTCACTGCCTGCCTTCCAGCTCAAAGGAGCAGCTGTTAAGACATCTATGGGACTCTTCCAAAAATAGCTTTATATGTGATTTCTAATTAGGAGGGGCCTCTGGAGGTCTAATAAACTACGTATTTACCTAGGGTTTAGAGATATTTTAATGTATTTTTAATATTTAAAGCCATCCCTAATTTCAAAACTGACATTATAGATTTGGATCATGGCTGGGAAACTTGGCAGAAGTGGAAATACCAAAATTGTGTCACATGGTAGTCTTTCTCTCTAAACTTTGTCAAATGCCCACATGACTAATATTGAACTGGATGACTGCAGTAAAAAAGTAGCTGGTAGTCTAACAACCAGGTGGAATGTTGTCTTTTGCACACAGTCAATTAACCTCGTGTAGTTGGGTTACATTTGCCTCCCTGTGTGCATGCACACCCTCTTCCTTCACCATTCCCTTCTACTTCCTTCTGCAGATGAGACAAATCTGAGCAGTGAGAAGAGTGCACCCACCCCAGTAATTGCAAGGAGACTCACATCTCTTGGATCAACAGTAAGACTCTGCTGTGATGTCTGTAGTGCTGTTAAATCCCAGCTAAATCTTTCTGACTGCTTAAACAATGCAACCTCTTTGTGCAATTGTTGTTAATGAGCTATGGAATACATTGTTTTATCTGCACTCCTTAAGACCTACGCAGGAAAAATTGCTGAAATCGCTGCATCCTTGGGAATTGTGATCATTAACTTGGGAGTACTGAGCAGCTCGTTATTTTTGGTGCTACACTCTTGGGATTTCTTTTCCTCTTGATTACCGTGTAATTACGGTTTGACTCCTTTTCAAGGAGATGTTGTTCCTGCTCTCAGGGGCTGGGCAAGGCAGAGTGGAAACCTGGTGGTGAAAGAAAGAGGATGGTACTGCATATACAGGTTCTAAATGTCCTATACAAGGATATGGATTTTAAGATTAATAGCTTAACAGGCTGAAAAATGTTTGCCCTGATGTGCAATTAGGTTCATTAGTATTGATGATGCAGCATGCAATTCTACAAACAGACCTGAGGTGAAGATATTAAAATGTTTTTATGAAGCTTAGGGAGGCTGTAGTTTCCAACTTCTTAATCTTCCTGTCCCTGTGGTTATGAGCTGTCCCTTCAGAGTAATGCTGATGAGAAAGTATAAGGGTAAACCCCATCCTAACCTGATACTTTTCTGCCCTGTCTGGGAGAAAGGTTTGCTCTTCATTTGTTGTGTATCTTTGTATTATTGTCTATGTGTAGCAGTCACACTTGTATTTAATTGTGTTCAGCTACTCTGAAGCTAGTGATTTCTAACACATCTCTCTTCCAAAGCCGGCTAATGGGATTGTGAAGACTAGAAAAGATGTTATGCTTATGAAAGAGAAAAAGAAACAGAAGACACTGGAGAAGGAGGTAGGAATCCATTGTGTGAGTGAAATCCTGTCATGTCTCCTCCCCCTTACAGTAATAAAAAATGCAAGCTGGTAAAATTTGCCTCTTTTGCATCAGACAACATACAAGTAATTTACAAACAGCTCTGTGCAAAAGAAAGGTTATCAGATATTATGGCTATACAAAGCTAATGGATTTGCATTAATTCCTGCTGATTGTGAATGACTATTGTCTTCTCAAAAACAGAACTGAGTCCTCTGTTGGCTACCTCAAAAAGGTTGTGTTTTATTGAATAATCTCTAGCTGAACTTTTTTACTTAATAATTGACACACTTTTCATGCTTATGAGGCACCCTAAACTGTATCAGTACACTTCTATGTGCTAACTGGTGCCTTGTGTCTCAAATGTCATGTTCTGCCTTTTGTCTGTCACAGCCAAAGAGGAGAGCTGGCTTCTGTTATCCACTAAAGCTAAGGCTATTCTACTTTTGACATGTTGTGCTGGCTAGGTGGTATAAAATAAGTCAGATGAAATGTTATTGTATGGTGTGTAATAACAGAGAATAGTGGCGATTCCTTCCTGTGAATGAGAGTTGCAGATACATATTCTGAATGAAAGTAAATACAGTTTGGATACCTATGCCTGTGGTTTACTTGGCTAAACTAATGATAGTTGGAAATAAAGAAAATACCTCATGTTTTAGATTCGTGCATTGGTGAGAGAACGTGGAGAACAGGATAAAAAACTTCGGGCTCTGGATGAAGATCTTGTTAAGATTGAAGCAAAACTGAGTGCTGCAGTTCAGGAGAAAACCTCTCTTTCAGCAAATGTTGCATGCCTGAAAAAACAGCTTCTGGAGTTAACAAGAAGCAATGAACTACTAAAGTCAAAGGTATGCAGACAAATAAGTGCATCTTTGCTTTGCCTTTGTTATTGATCTTCCTGTGCAAGAGGAAGCTTTACTTGCTGATCAGCACATGTTTTGATGTAAAGCATGTCTGGTTTGGGATTTTGTGCCTCTCTGTCTAAACACAGAGTGGGAGGGGAATGCTTAGAAAGGGTTATGTGAACAGCAATTCAGAGAAAGGAATTACACTTGGTGGTTTTATCTTCTTTTCTAACAAGCTGTCTGAAGATGGTGTGCAGAAGAAAATGAGCAGCCTGTGCATGGAGTTGATGAAGCTCAGAAATATGAGGGATGCGAAGGAAAAGGTATGACCATCTGTACAGGATCTGTAATTCTAAGCTGCTCAGGAATAAAACCAATGATCCTCAGTATAGTTTGAAGCTCTTGGTTGTAGTTGTTTAGCAAGTGGCTGATCTCTTTACAGAGGGATACTTGCAATTACATTTAGCATAGTAGCTGGTGCTATTATTAAACAGGAGTGATGATTAAGTTTCATTTCACCACTGTCTCTTCCACATTGCCTTTTTTTACTAAATCTCATTTAATGTTAATATGGTGTATTTTGTTGTTTCTCTTTTTAAGACTGCACTGGCAAAGCAGGAAAACATGGAAATGAAGCTGCAGGAAGTGCAAAGGAATCTAGAGCATTCAAAAGGAAAAGTAGCACAGTTACAAGAAAAATTGTAAGTGCTAGGAAGGGAATTACATGAGATGGCTGTGTTTCCCTGCTTGTCCTTTGTAGTAACCAAAATCGAGGCTGTCTCCCACATGAGAAGGAGCAGACATTGTCAGTGTTTAATCTGGAATAAACACCATGGAATTAAGTTCTAACAACTGCTGTTTTTTGATAATGCTACCATTAGAAGCGTTGTTGCTCTAGTGTATTTAGCCTTTTTCCAAAAGACAAACTGTATCATGTCAAGCCTTTTCAGTGTGGTGTGGGTGGGGTCTTCTTGGGTATGGGGTGGGGAAGAAAGACATATGTCTTTAGAAAAAGTATTGTTGGTCAGGTTGGAGGAGGCCATTTATATGGATGGGGTATTTCTGGCCCTTTAGACTACAAAGTTGGGAATAAGCAAGAATAGAAAAGCATTAGAGTAGGAGCTGGAATCCTAATTGAGCAGCCAGGCATTTGGCTTGGATTTGATGAACACATTTACGTTCACCAGAGAAGTGCATTGAAGAGCCATTGTGGTGCCTTCAGAGCTGCTTTGATGTGGACAACTGCTCTGAAGAAAGGCAACTGAAGAGTCTCTTGGTTTCAGCAGCTCTAGGTAGATACAGAGTGGGTTCTAACTCAGCACCTTATTCTGCCAAAAAAATGCCACATGCTGCACAGGAACAGTACACTAATATGCAGCCTATTGCTGAGGATAGTGACCTGGGATGAGCTTGTAAGCTATGTTCAATGTCAGGTTAGCACATTTGGCACTGCAGCATGAACTTGGCTGTTAATTAAAATACACAAAGGTAATAATGCAGGTAGTGCAGGTCTCAAAGGGAGGAGATGCTGATTTTCTACAAAACCTGCATTATGTTGATGCATTATTATGTTGGTGGCATATTGCTTGTGGGGAAACGTGGCTTAGCATCTTTACTACAATGAGAAGACTATCTGGAACAGGGATAAAAAGAGGGTAGAATCGCTTTTTAAAGCCAATATCAGTTTTTCAGCCAAAAGTATGTGTTATTACTTAACTCTGGACTTCTAAAAATACATCTGTCATAAAAACTGTCTGGTTTTAGGTCTGCTACTGAGAGAGAGAAATTTGAAGAAAAGTCTGACACTGAAAAACTCTTGGAATATATTACCGAGCTCAGGTAATAACAAATTGTTCTCAAGAAGGCAGCTTTCCTCTTGGAAACAAACAATCCTAAGCATTTTCCTTTATGTTCCTGTGTAAGCTTATAAACAAAATATAGTGGTAACAAGTGCCTGAATTTTTTTCTACAGTAGTGTTGCAGAAACAGCTGAGAAATACAAACTAGATATTGCCCAGATGGAGGAGACACTGAGTAAGAAAGAGCAAGATATTAAGATACTGAAGAATACGCTCCAAGTAAAAGAGGAAGAGTCATGTAAACTGATGAAAGAACTTGATGAGAGGTGTCAATTGCTTCAACAAGAGAAAGGTAATTGTTCTTGTACACTGTTCCATATGTGGGATCACTCACATGTCTTAAAGCATCTCAAATAGGTGTTTTCCAAAATGTCGGTTTAGACTGGTTTGTCCCAAATGAGAAGTCAAGTCTCTGAGCTCCAGCTAGAAACATCAAGGCATGTTTTTAACAACAGGGAAATCACTTCACATCTGGCATTTGTTAAGTCTGAACTGTAAGAGTGGCTTTAATCTGAAAGGTGAACAGTAAGAAGTTCTTGTTCCTTACTCTTCTCTAAGAAGCAGTATAATAGTGTGTGAATTCACTGCTAGCAGCTTATTCTCAGATTCACTGAAGTGAATTCACTGAAGTGTTGAGAATGTGGGAAGGATCTTTCTTCACCTCCTTACTCCTTCTCTCCCAACACTAGCAACTCGGCAATCTGAGACATGTACTCAATTTTCTGTACCAGCTGCCTTCTGTGTACTAGTTTGTGGAAAAAGCTTTGGGGAACTCATGTAGTTGTTTTCCCTGCCATACTACTCTTCTGGTGAAGGCTAATTGCTTGGTCCAAACACTCCTGCTGTTAAAATTATTCTAAAGTGGTATACCTTGAGCCAATTTTGAAGTTTCCAGATGGGTTGTAGGTTTGTGGGGGGTTTTCTTTCTTTTTTTTTGGTAGTTAGGCAAGGGAAGAACAAATACAGAATGGAAGTAGTATGATTAATATATATTGTAGATATTTGAAGATAGAGAAGGGAATTTATGGTATATTGACAATTTTTCTATGCAGAGAAAGAGTTGTCTGAGGCCAAAGGACAATTCCTAAGTATGAATGCTGAAATAGAAGACCTGAAAAGAAAAATTGATTTGGTGGAACAAGAACACCAAAAACTCCTTCAGAAACATGAGGAGGCTGTGTCTCAGCTGCAGCAAGAGAAGGTAAATACAGGCTATAAACTAGTCTAAAAATAGATTGTAATCCCAAGGATTGGCACTAAAAATCGTTGTTTTGGTTATGCATAAAATGTGCATTCTACAGATTAGGTTATCGTTAATATGGCAAAGTGGGTACTGGCCTGCAGAAGCTTGTGTGAATCATTGCTAAGAATCGTTGCTGGTGGGATCGGAGTCATGGATTTGAAACTTAAACACTGTAAATTAACCCTTTACTACCTAGAAAGTACTGGTAGTTTTAAAATCTGTGGTAATCTGGCATGTAGGAGTCATCTGCATCAATGCAGCAGAAGTTACTAGAGTTTGAAGATGAAGTAGCAAGTGAGAGACATCTTCTGGAAGAAGAGCTGAATGGTACCATGAAGGAGCTGAATAAATTGCATGCAAAGGAAAAGAAGGCTGAAAAGTTGGTGAAGCGACTGGAACAAGAAATCAAATCCCAAGGTCTTGAACTTGGACAGATGGAAGAAGAGTTGAAAAGGTTTGTGAAAGAAGTTTTCTGATTCAAGCTTTGAGAGGAAGAATGTTAAATTAGTAATGTAAGCAGAGCTGCTGAGCCTAATTCATGTTTTAGGGGTCTGAGCAGATCTGAAGTTATTTCTTGCTGATTGTTGATTACTGGTAGTGATGAGATCTAATCACTAGCACTAGTAACTTGAGTCAGTATCAATAGTAACTTGAGTGTGTTTTACATTATTGTAATTTGAAACAAAAGATAAGCCAGTTGGGATTTGCTTGAAAGGCTGGTATTGTATTGCTCTGACCTTACTGTGCTGGGTAAGATATGTGCATGATGTTCTGGAGAAGGCAATGTCAAACATGTTCAAGCCAGTTGTTTCTTAAGTTTACTATCAGGTCTTCAGTCTATTCTACAGCTCCCTTGGAAAATAAGTGGAGGGGGAAATCCTTAGTAATATCTGTTGTGAAGACTGTGCTTAGTATGTGAGACGTTACTGGTTTGTCACAATTAATTTATTGCTGCTGCTTCAAGCTTTCTGTAACTGATAACAGCATTTGGTGGTGTGGTCACACATGCTTCTCTCCAGAGTGCAATGCTGAATTTTTATTTCAGAAAGAATTTAGAGTTGGAGCAAATCAAGGCAATGCATAGCAGTGCTGTATTGAAAATCCAAGAAGAGCACAGCAATACACTGCAGGAACTTGGAAAGACTATTGCTGACTTTGAAAGGTATTTAAGTTTTATTAATGTGTAGGACAGGCATTATCTCTTAAGATGACAATAAAATGTACTGTTCATTTATGTGCCTTGGTACTTCAAACTACATGTTAGTATTGGCATGGCATTTGAGCAGAGGATTTTGTGATGGTATTTGGTGACATTAAGAATTTGTTTCTTGAGTACTGGGCAAGTATAGTGGCACAGTATCATTATCTAGTTCAGAAAATTGGATATTTCTTCCAAAATGTAACCAGTTGGAGGAGTTCAGTGGTCTTGAGTCAAAGAGATTTGTAACTAGTGATGGTGTTCTTGATACTGAAATATCTTGCAAAAAGACTTATACAGACTCAAAATTTGCACTGAATTGAAAGTAGTTTCCTACAGTTATTGCAATTCTTTTACCTTAAAATATTCAGGTTTAGAAAGTATATAAAAAATTATACTGTCATTACTAGGTATGTGTGTCACCCATGAAGGATCCTGTGGGATATTTGCTAATGCCAACTACAGACAGTAGGTGCTTTGCTGCTTAAAATAAGCTTCAGAGAGAGTAGGTCCTTTGTGTTTTAGAATACCTACAAGATATAGTAATATCTATATCACAGAAGTTGTCATAATGTTACTGCATATGGCTTCATGGAGCGGTGATGTGGTTTCTTTCTTTCCTTTAGATTTATCAATGCCTGTACACTGCCATATCTTTGGGTTATAAAATCTTTGATGCTTGCTAGCATGAGCTTGTATTGCTCTTGTAAAGTGTGAACATTTCAATCTGTATTTTGCCTGAAGTAACAAGGTTTTTCTCACTTGTACTGTAATACCAGCTACAAGAAAACATCAGCTGAAGAAATTTGCAGTTTTAAACTGGAGAATTCCTCTCTGCGAGAAGAAGTTGCCAACCTAAAAAAAGTAGGCCAAGAGAATCTGCAGTTGCTTCAAGAAGCAGAGTACACTAAAAACAAAGCAGATGAAGAATATGCAAGGTACTACACAGACTTTACCTTAAGCTAAAGAATGCAAAGTGAGGCTTGCCTTTCTAACTAGAACCTCATGTGATGCTCTAAAGATCAGATCAGTATTTGGTGTAAGCTGAAGTTTGTTGCTTTTCCCAGTGCCGAAGGTTGAAAATACTGATAGACAAAATTTATTCAGTTTATATGCATTAGGAAACTGGTCTGTCCAATCAGTTATTTTGACTTTTGTTTATATGTGGAACATAGAGGAAAAGGAAAATACTTGAGTGAAATATGTTGGCATATTGTCTGTTTCAGAAATACCAGTTACAGTGGCTGCTCTGCAAATGAGATCCCCAGAGGTGACAAGCAAATACTTAATGCAGAACTTGCTCTCTGCCACTCCAGTCTGAATGATGTCACCTCAAATTCTGCTCACAAGCAGATGCCAATTAATCATCCATGAGTTTTGCCACACTGTGATGATATAAACTGAAGTTCTCTCTCTGCCTAATATGAGGCACCACAGTGCAGCTGATGAGAAATAACCCCCAAGAAGTTGTGTTAGGCCAGTAGCTGAGGACATGCTTCCGACTGTCTAACAGCAGTTTAGTGATCCATGTTCTCTATGGTTCTGTGCTGCTTAAGATGCTTCCCTTTCTTTCCTCCTACCTGCTTAATGTCTTCAGTTGGCATTTGAGCTGTTAAAAAACAAACTGAAGAGCTATTTCCTGGCTGAGGTGGGAGGGAAGGGATGGAACAAACAGCTGGGGCTGAAGAGGGGTCAAGTCTTTTAGATGTAGGGTTTTTGAAATCTTGTATACATCCTCACTAACAGTCTTGATTAGTTCCTGCTTGAGCAAATCTCTCCATGTAAAGCCTAACTACTAAACCATCCCTGCTAAAAGCTGTTGGCATTAAGCAGCCTTAAATGAGCAACATGACCTTTCTTTGCTTCAAAAGGACTTTTTGCATCATTAGAGGAAAAGGTAAAAATGTTCATCTTAAACTTAATTGCCTTCTGTACTACTGTTTTATTTGTAGCACCACTTGTGCAAACCTTTATTTCAGTTCTGCTAAAAAGCTTTTCAACCATGGTTACTTGTGGGTTTTAGATTTAGTGTAGTGGGAAAAAAAATAAAAATCAAGGGCTCGTTAAAAAATTATGGTATTTTCCTCAGGATGCTTTTAGAAGTTGAGACCAAGCTTGCATTAACAGAAGCAGAAGCAGAGAGGACAAAAGAGTTGTGCCTTGCACAAATGACTAACCTTCAGGAGAAACTTGAGGAGCAAACTGAAGATCTGAAAAGAGAACTTGAAGCAGAGCGATCAAGGTGACTTGCTCAAATTTGAACTGCATATGATGGCACAGCCAAGTTTTATTGGGAAGAACTGCTGAGAGCTAACAAAGATCATAACAAACCTCTACTTCTTGCTTTTTAGGAAAACCATAAATGAAGATGTGACCTCTAGCTTAGAGAAAGAGATCAAGACCTGGCGTAAACTGTATGAAGATTTACATAACAAAGTTAAGCCTTTTCAGGTGTGTTGTGAAGTAGTACCTGTTAGTTGTTAGTATCTGTTGACATAAGACCTTTGCACTTGGCTCAAGTTCAGTCTTGAGAAGTAAATATGCTACTTCCCATTCTAAGGCATTTATTCTGCAGTGGTTTCCTAAGTTACTATGCAGTGAGCCAGCTATTCCCCTTCCCAAAGTAATCTTCCTTGGTAGATTTCAGTTCAGTAAGAAGTTATGTTCAATTGAAAGATTTCTAAGATGGTTCAAATGCATTTCAGCAACAATTAGATGCTTTTGAAGCAGAGAAGAATGCTCTCCTGGAGGAGCACGGGGCAGCCCAAGAAGAACTGAATAAACTGAGTGATGCATATGCTAAGCTACTTGGCCACCAGAACATGAAGCAAAAAATCAAGCATGTTATGAAGCTGAAGGAAGACAATGCTCACCTGAAGCAGGTTTGTGAAATTAAATATTAGAAATCTGCAAGTTACTAATGTGCTTGCTGCCCTTTTTTGTTGCTCTAAATTTTTACAGACTAGCCCTGCAAGCTACTTATTTCTTGGCTCTTCAATTCCCTGCATGAAGCAGATTACAATAAATCACAAGCCTCCAGAAATGCCAAGAATTTTATTTTTAACTGAATTTACAACATACAGAGGGATCAGCAGGAATAAGTACCTCTACTCTTAGTTTGGTTGGCTTTTCTTGGGTTTTTTTTTTTGGTATCCTAGACTTAAAGTATCTGCTGAAAGTTTCAAACTGCCATACTGCTTAGTGGTGGTACACAATGCCTGTATGTGCTGCTAGTTTCTTTGCACCTTTGTGTTTGGGTTGGGTTTTAATGCCACCAATAACTGTCTATATGTTTAGCATTAGGCAAAATGGCTCCCTCAGTAAATGATGAAGCAGGCTCTTTTCCCATTCTTCATCTAACTTGTAAGTCTTGTTTTCCCTAGGATGTCTCAAAATTGCGTGCATTGCTAGCCAAGGAAAAGCAAATCAACAAACATCTCCAGGAGCAGCTGTGTGCAGTACAGGGCATTAAGCGTTTTGATCCTTCCAAAGCTTTCCAGCATGATAGCAAGGAAAATATTCCTCCAAAAACACCTTTAAAAGAAGGTAAGTTTGAGATTGATGTAGCCTTTGTACCTCTTAAACTTAACCAAAGAGGGTATGAGAGCCTTGCATAGTCTGCTGCATCTGAGGGAGGTGAATGATGACTCTTGTTCCACAGCAGATGTTGGAGGCTGCATCAATGGGGCACTCCCAGTGTACTTTCCAGCCTAGATCCTTACAACCTGACAGGTGTGGATGGTGTGCCAGGTCAGACAGCAGAGCCATTTTCCTTCTGTCACCAGCTCACATGTTTCTGCTGATGACGTGACAGGAAGTGTCTCCTGCACAGGTCAGGGGGTAGAAGTGGCTCGGCCAGACCCCTTTGCACCCTGGTTCTTGAGCTGCTCCCTGGCAGTACCTTGCACCACTGCAGGTGTCAGAGTAAGATGCAAAAGGGCTGCATATGTGGAATGGAGGAACAGATGGGGAGAACATGGGGGCACACCAAGGGAAGCAGGGTAGAGGAGAGAGTTTCATTATAGTGTCTATTCCAGGGTCTGAAATCCTGGCTTGCCTGTGAGCTTCAGTGTAGGGCCTTCTGCCCCCCAGGAGACAAGAAATTACTTAATGTGGTGGGAGCAATAGATGAAAAACTCAAACTTATTTTTCCATTGCAGGCAATAAAAACAAAATTTGAAGTCTTTTTGGTATCAAGAAAACAACCCATAAGATGATTACAGGAGACTTCAACAGACTGCTTCTTCAAGATGAACTTGGATGCTGTATATAATACAAATCAGTAGGAGGCCTAGAGAAATGATCTAAAATTATACATATTTTAGAAAACCGATGTTATATGGAGAAGCAATAGGTGACAGCATGCTTCTGACTCCTGGTAATATTACAGGCATGAACTCTGAAAAGTGCTCACAGTTGCATGTTTTGGATATGGTGAGGCTGCTTAGTTAGGTTTTGAACAGAGCATTTTAAGTTTGGAGAAGGAGAATAAGCACTGGAGAATAAGATTACAAGTGAAATCGGATTTCATGTGAGTTTTTTTGATTTTTAAATATTTTAATTTTTTTTTTGCATCTATCCAGTGTATGCAATGCTATGTTAAATTAATTTTGCTGTTTATAGCTGCTTTGGTGCTAATGGCAGCAATACTGCCAAGAGAGACATTTTTACTTCTGTGGCCTAAACACTGTAGAACCAGAGCAGAAATGGCACTATACACTTAATTTTGATAGTCTACAGGATCTATGTTCAGTATATGTTCAGATTTAAATCCTGGGGCTAGGTGTTGCAGCTGTTGATCTTCAGAAGTGCATTTTCAGGTCAAAGTCAAATTGACTGTATTTATCTAAATGTTTCTGTCCTATGACTAAGATTAGCGTCTTGAGAGCAATGCTGTGTCCTCTGGGCTCTTAAACTGCCATAAAAATCTTTGTAGCCAGCTATTGTAGGTGATCAGTGCTACAGTGCCAGGGAATAACAACAGAACTTCTCTCACCTGGGAGGAGGGACACCACAGACCTCACATGCTTTGTGCAGACTGGAACTTTGACAATAGGGAAAGAATCTGTTAAACTGCATTTTAAATTAAGAGCATTTTAACACAATAAAAATTTTAAATTAAAGAATTTGTTTATTTCTTTTGAAAACCAGGTATAAAACTCAAAATAACATTACAGTGGGATTCATCTAATGTTCTTTTTTTCTAGTCTTTCTTCAAAACAAAGCCAAAAGTCAGTTGTGCCTCAAAAACTTCGTATTCTCTAGTCTTAGGGAAATTATTTAGCTGAACTGTACAATATATACAACCTGAAATTCTCTTATTTCTCTTAATACAAAAGTAAATGCTGAATTTAAGTCAAAGGTGGAACTGTGTTTTTGTTATTGTATGTCTGTGCAGATATCTTACAAAAAGGTTCTGCAGAGGCAGTACCCAAAACTTAGCTGGTAGAATTTATTTGCATTTACGCTGACATCATGAGCTTACGGAGACTTCATAATTTTTAGGATATTATATACAAAAGATGCACATTAAGTCCAAGGACATAAGTGGCTAGATGTTTTCTGTTAATATCATCCTTATGAATTTGCTGGATTACTTGATTCTTTGAAGAGTGAGGATGAGGATTACTTTCAGGTGTTTTATGTTTTAATTAAGAGAGTACTCGGTATTCAGCCTGAAGTGTTAAGATATTTTGATAAAGAAGTTGCTAGAAGTATTTTATAGTGGAGTTCTCTTCTTGTGGAGAAAAAAATGAAGATTTTGTCTGAAAGGTGTAAATTGAGTAAAAAAATTATAGAGGAATATTAGTGAAAGGTCTCACCAAGCTCAAAACATAAAAATGGAGACACTGAGTTAAGGTACTTTTTTTTTTTTAGACTGAAGGTACGAATATGCCAAGGGAAGCCAGGAATGGCAGGTGCCTCAGGACTGGGCCTTTAGGGTTCCTACATCCTGGTTTGATACAGCTGGCATGAGCATCCTTATACTGACAGAAGAAAATACAAACTCCAGCAAATAATTCTGCTAGCCTTACAGCGTTAAGACACTGATAAATCGCAGAGCAGGGAGAGAAGCAAAGGGTGGAAGTCAAGGGGAAGTTGAAGGCTTTTTGTCAACTTCAGTCTAGGAGGCTTTTTCACTTTCTTGCACTTCTATGAAATTAAGTATTAAAAACTGAAACCTTGACACTTGTAGCTCAACTGGCATTTGTATTCACAGCAGGAATTCATTACTTTCATGTTCCGGTAGATTTTTTTTTTTAATTGAAAAATACATGATTTAACATAAAGTTATTTCTCTAATGATTCATCTCGATGTATTGTAGCAAGAGCTGGGCTGTGCTTAGTTGAAATGTAACGTGAAGAGCTCTTAGAATTCTCAACCTGCCTGACCTAATTAGAGCCCTCCTCCTGTTTGCTATAAAGGACAAACTGTATAAGACTCGGTGCCAGTGCTTTGAATGATCTCATGCACACAATGGCCGTGCTTGCCTCATGCTGGCTGTTACGAGGTAAAAATTTAAGCTCGTACTGAGCTGCTTAAATGGTACCACTGGGACCAGACCAAAAGCTTAACAGGAATTGGAGCCACACGTGATGCAGGGCTGGGATTTGTGTTTTGGTTTCAAAGGTCAGCAGAGCCAGTGCTGCTCTCAGTCCATGTGCTCTCTGCAGGCACAGCAGACAAAGGGACAAGTGCAGTTGAACTGCAGTGATTTCCTGGGCTGCTAATTCCCTCTGTGGTTTGGCAGTGCCCAAAATGCTGCTGGAAATGGAGCAGGTAAGGCTCTGCATATTTGCATTAACAGGTTGCTACCACTTTGGTTACAAAATCAAGAGAAAAGCAAACAAGGAGGAGAGAGGGAGACTTAATTATGCTTTAGTCTCTGTGAATTACAGCCTGAAATGTTAATTTAATGAGTGGTCCATTTAATCACCCAGGGATGCATAATGCTTAAGTGACTGTGATCTAGACAACAGTACAATTCTTATTGTTAATCATAGTGTTTCACAAAGTGGATGTAACAATAATAAAGAAATTGAAAGTATAGGTAGAACACTACAGAACTTGAGGTAAATATTTGAGGAAAAAATATATAATGAAAACACAAAAACTACATATAAGTTAACTTATTCTGGTGACAAAGATGTTATTTTACAGACTGATTTATGATGATAGCTTGAGATTTCAGTGTTCATGCTTTTGCTGTTTTTCTCTTCTGAGCCTGGAAGACAGTTTTAATTTCTCCATCATGCTTTTTGTTGAAATGCACAGGGAGCTCTTCCAAGCAGTGTTGGGAGGAGATGGTGTAACATCAGGTGTACTAGTTCTTACCTCCATGCTGCTAAACAGTTTGGTATTTCTTTGAAGATTCTTTTTTATTTCAAGATATCAATTACTGATATTTTGAAGTAAAATTCTAAGGTTAATGGAAGGCAATTAAATGTGAATAGTTTGTTACAGGGGGGGAAAAAAGGAGCATCTGTATTTCATGAAGGCAGAAACTGGCTGAAGTGGTTTTTTACATATCTATGCCTTTTTGTCCTTTAAATGTTAGCTGTTTGTCATAAAGATAATTTACAATATTCTATAAAGTTTTATTAAACTTCGATAGACTTTTCTGGTTTTCTTCCTTCAGTATTTCCAATTAAAACTATTTTAACCAAGTTAAGTTGAAATAAATTCATTGGCACAGATACAAGTGTGAAGTAGCTACAGTGAGTTTTAGCCAGTTGTTTTTATGCATCTACTTAACTTGAGTTCTCTTGCAAGGCACAGTCTCTGCCTTTGTGGGTCAAAAATGGTACTGTAACACTTTGTATACAGTATCCTGTTACCTTCAAAACTTTGAGTTGAAAAAGAAATCAAACCTGTCACCTTGTAAGCATGATACATACAGGAGCAGTACTGTAAGCACTGATTGCTCTCTCAAAAACAACCTCTCCTTCTCTGGGATTTACCAGTTGGTTTTACATCAAACTCTGGATAAAAGCAATTTGGAAATGCTTCTTTTTCTCCACTCTAAAACGCGGTACTAAGTAATTTTTAGTGAATATTTTTTTTAACTATATGCAGTATCAGTAGATATTTTGGTCTAATTCTGAAGTTCCAATTTATTTTTTTACAAACGAGGACTCACAATAGAAAGTTCACAGTTTCAA